CCCGCCCCGCCCCTACCTCCACCCCCACCCCAGCCCTACCCCAGCCCCGACCTCCAGTTGGTCCTAGCTTCCCTTCCTGGCCATCTCCCCTTCCCTCTCCCCTGCCGTCCCCCCACCTTCTCTCCTCTCCTGCTTCCCACTCTGCAGGTGAAGGGTGGAGAGCAGGGAATGTGGTCCCTTCTCAGCTAACAGCCAGTGGAGGCATGGAAGCAGCCCACAGCTTGAGGGGCTCAGATGCCCCCCGCTCCCCAGAGGCTGGAGGTCCGAGCCACACATTGAGCTCAGGCCTCCAGAGACCCTGAGCAGACAGCCAGTGCAGCAACTCAGGAAGCTGAGATCTGGAGGATCACAGTTCAAAGCTATCTGGGACAGAGCAGTCCTTGAAACTGTGTACAATTAAGCCGTGACACCCGTGTTACCAGTTGCAGCGTGATTTTTACCCGGACATGTGGGTAACTGTTTCAGAGCAATGGCAGGTTGTTTGTTCCCAGGGCCAAGGCCAGGGTTGTCCTGGGCTTTGTTTGGGAAAAGAAGATAAGGCGTGTGTGAGGTTTCTGGGGTGAGTGCAGAAAGGGTGTCACAGGCCCTTTCTGAAAAGGGGGGTCACTTCTGAGCTGCCCCCCACCGCGGGCAACCCCACAGATACGTCACCAAACCACAAAGCCTCAAACCAAGAGCCACACAAACTGGGCGCTGTCCCGGGTTCCTAATAGATGCAGCGATTGTGCTCCATGCTCTCATTGCTGATGGCCAGGAGCTGAGCAGATTCCTCACCCCACAGCTGCCAGAGACGGCAGCCAGAGCACCAACGCCCTTGCCAACATGTCTGTGCACATGCGTGTGTCTGCGTAAACATCCCTGTGTGCATTTATGTGTGTGAGCACACATGCGTGTCTGTGCTCGTGGATATGTAAACCTGTCTCTGTACCCACACGTGTGTCTGTATCCCTGTGCATGCATCTCTGCACACATGCATGTGTGTTTTGTACATATGTAATCATGTCTGTGCACACACGTGTGCCTGTGTACATGTGTCTATGCATCTGTATATGTGGCATCTGTGTGCATTTGCTGTCTCTGTGTCTGCATCAATGCACACACATAGATGTGTATATGCGTGCCTGTGTGTTCACACACATATCTGTGTCTGTGCATGTGCACACATGTGTTGGGGCACACATGCTTGTGTGTATGTCTGTGCACAGTGTCTACATATGGATACATGATACGTGCACTGGTGTATGTGTCTGTGAACATGTGTATGTGTGTACATGTGGGTATTTGTGTGTGCATGTGTATGTGTGTGAATCCTGCCCTGGGAACTGGCTTGCTGTGACTCTGTTTCCCCTCTGTCTCTGCTCTGGAAGTGCCTCACTCCTCACCAGGGACGGCCCAGCCTGACCAACACCCCAGGCCCTCAGTTGATCTGTAAAATCCTCCCTGGCTCTGGGCACCAGCCACGGAGGAAGAGAGCCCTCCGGCCCAGCCTGCATCTGTGAGCAGGGGCTTCACCAGACTTCCAGAGAGGGGCAGTCACGCTCTGGGCGCAGCCCGGCCACCGGTGACTACGTGTGGCAGCAAGCAGTGGCCCGGGGCCGGGAAAGAGGCTCCACCTGAGCACGGCAGGTTTCCTAATCAGCATTGTCCAAGAAGGAAAGACCCTGGGGAAAGGGAGAGACATGGGGAAGGGGAGAGACCCCAGGAAGAGGAGAGACCCTAGGGAAGGAGAGACCCAGGGAAGGGGGGAGATGTGGGAAGAGGAGAGACCTGGGAAGAGGAAAAGCTCTTAGATAAAACCAGCCAGCAAGGCAGCCTGCCAGCCACCCACTGACCACTGACTGAGCCGGGCTGGGCAGTTCGGCATGGAGCCTGGGCTGCGGTCAGCCCAGGAGGGAGGAACCCCTGCCCCCAGCCCCTGCCAGGCTGAGAATTGGGGGTAAACGGGGTAAAGGGGGATAATAGTCAGATAGGAGACTTGCTCTATCATCTATTTATCCGTGCCTTTCTTTTTTTGGTATTGAGGTTTGAACTCTTGAGCCACACCCCAGCTCTTCTTCAGATAAAGTTTTTGTTTTTTTCCTCCCGGGGCTGGTTTTGGACCACCATCCTGCCGTCCTCCTGTCCAGCTGGGATGAGGTGCACTCCACCACTGCCTGAACTGTTGGTTGAGATGGGGTCTTGCTAACTTTTGCTCAGATGGCCTCCAACTGTGATCCTCTAGCAGTCTGCATACTGAGTAACAGATTAAAGGTATGAGCCATAGCACTTGGCTCTTATTCAAGATCTAAAAGCAACCAAAATGTTCCCTTCCCAAATCATTTGGAGACAGGTACGTTTTACTGATGAGTCTCCTGCATCTGCAGGAGTCCCATTGTGACCAGTGGATCCTTGATCTGCAGCCTGGTGAATCTGTTTTCCTTCAATCATTTGCTGTTTAATTTTCTCTGTGCTGTTTTGACCCCATGATTAACAGGAAATACTGTTTGCTCAAGACTCAAAAGGCAATGTGTGTGTTAAACATAGCACTGAGTTTCCTGCGCTAGGTATATAGAGGGGCCGTATTGCCCACCTCCCAGGGGCAGGGCCTGGCCTGAGAGCCACGAGCTTCTGCCACTAATGGGAAATGTGTGCGACGCCTGCCTCTGTCCCTCTGTCCCTCCTTCCTTCCTTCCTTCCTACAGACAGGGCCTTGCTGTCCACTGCGCTTCTCAGAGCCGCCCCCCCCAGCCAGTGCTGCCTCCCCGGGGTGGTGTAATGCCCTGGCCTTGAGAACACGGAGACACCTCTCAGCATGTGATTTCTAGAAATGCCCGCCCTTTCATTGGCACAGGGCTGGATTTGGTGGCTAGCAGTCAAAGCAAATTTGGGCAAAATAATGCTGGCAAGCAATCTCTTTGCTGTGGTCAGCAGGTGTTTCTGTTCATCAAATGCCACGTTGTCTATGAAAAGCAGCCCCGATTGTGAGTTGCTCCAGGAGCCACGAGGCCCAGCCAATGAAGGCTGAGGACGAGGCCCAGACCGCCCGCTCCGGCCCCACCCACGTCACCTTCCTCCTGCTGCACTGCAGAGACCAGACCTTCTGACATCTTCCCGGGTCTTCCTGGGTCTGGAGGAAGTGCCCGGGGCTGGAGCACTGTGGGGAGAGGTGTCTGCCCTGAACACCTGGTGCAGGTGAGGGTGGGGAATGAGTTGGGGCACAAAGGCCAGGTGGGGGCAGGTGTTCTGGGGTTCAGGAGGTGGGGGCCAGAGTCACAGTGCGGGTCACCTCCCCCACTCGGGGTTCACCAGCCACGTTTGCACGGTTTTTAAAGTAATTGCTCAAGCCAGGTGCCAGTGGTTCCTATCTATAATCCTAGCTACTCAGGAGGCTGAGATTTGAGGTTGCAGTTCAAAGCCAGCCTGGGCAGGAAAGTCCGAGAGATTCTTATCTCCAATGAACCAGCAAAAAGCCAGAAGTGGCGCTGTGGCTCAAGAGGTAGAGCACTAGCCTTGAGCTGAAGCGCTCAGGGACAGTGCCCAGGCCCAGGGTTCAAGCCTCAGGACTGGAAAAAATAAATAACTAAAAGCAACTGTAACTGCTCGCTTATATTAAAAACCAATCCCGTGCGGGCCTCTGGGTGCTTGGAAGATGGCAGCAAATGTGTGTTGTGTAACTGGTAAGGAGTGAGCAGCAGAGTCCTGTGGGTGGCCCTCAGCCACAGCCCGACATTTGCAGCCTCGCTGGGGTGGCCCTGCGCATCACAGCGTTCCTTGTGATGGAATCATGGAGCTCTTCTGACCAGTGTAGAAAGATCTCCATGTGAGCGTGGTGGTCCACACCTGTAATCCTGGAACTCTGGAGGCTGAGGCCCAAGGATTGAGAGCTCCAGGCTGGCTGGAAAACCAAACAAAGCAAAGGAACAACAAAGCCCCAAGCAGTAACAAAACCCAGGAAAAACAAAAAGCAGAAAATTAATGTCCACAGGGCCGGGCTGTGGATGGGCGCTCACGCCACAGGAGCACTTCTGTTTCCTTTGAGCTGCGTTAGAAGGTGCAGGAGCCCGTGTGCGAGCAGCTCCCCAGGCTGGGAGCCTCGCTGGAGTTTCCTTCCTTACCGGCAGCAGTGCAGGGCTGGTGCTTGCAGCTGGAGGCTCTTCCTGGCAGCACAAGGCCCTGGTCCCTCAGAACTTGGAGCTCTGTGTCCAGTTGGCGAAAGCTAAGGACAGGAGATGGACACTGCCTTCGTACTGACTGGGTGCTGAAGTGGCACCGTCCTCTCCCCCACTGAGATGCAGGAGACCAGATGCAGAGGTTCCCTTGGGGGTAGTGACATGTGACTGGGGAGATGGGGAACAAGAAACTTTCTGCCTTATACCTTGTTAAAAGAGGTTAAAAGAGGGAACCCTAAGAAGACAGAGTGGCAGTAAAATCTCTTGTAAATGGTTGCAGTCCAGCTGGGACTGTGGAGGGCAGAGGGTGCTTTCCTACCCAGGAGGAGTTCACTCAGGGATTCTGGGTAATGGAAGTCCGGAGGGTAAGTGGGTGTTAGGGCATGGCGGTGAGAATCGCAGGCAAAGGAGCCCCCATGGCGGCCAGAGGCCTGATGCACGGTGTGCAGGTGTGTGCAACAGGTGTGGGGCTGCAGATGCTTGAACACAGCCATGGGGCTGGTACCCATGCCCTGGGCACAATGTGGGCAGAAGAGAGTGGGCGTGGCTGGAGCCAAGTTCTCCCCATCTTCTCTACAGTACCCACAAAAGTCAAAAAGCCTAGGAAAGGGAGAAGAGACTGCTCCTGGGGACTGTGGCCAGCCAAGGAGGTTTTTAAATAGTGTGTGCGGTTCTAGCATCTCTCCCCTGTGCAGTGGATTTGGTAACAGTATCTGCCTTGTGTTTGTGTCTCTGATCAGGTTATACTCGCTCCAGAAACTCTTCCTCTTCCCCTTAGAGCACAATAGGCAATGCAGGGTTCTCTTGGTTTCAACCAAAAGAGAAACGCGTCACATACAGAAAGGCAGCTCACGCCTGTAATCCTGGCTGCTCAGGAGACTGAGAGCTGAGGATCGAGGTTTGAAGCAGGAAAGTCTGGGAGACTGTTATCTCCAGTTCACCAGTGGAGCAGTGGGAGAGCGTCCCCCTCCAGTGAAAAAACTCATGGACGGCTCCCAGGCCCCAGTACCAGCATGCACGTGTGTACACATGCGTGTGCACACGCACACACACACACACACACACGTGCCCCCACTGTGAGCTCACAACGTGAGCACCAGGGAAGTTCCTCAGGAAATGTGTGTGGATTCGCCACCTTCCTCCCCTTCCCCAGGTGGACATGGTCGCCCGTGGCCGGGGTGGAGTTGGTGTCCCTTGGCCTGCTGTGAGGATGGTGTCCCGCGTGGCGGGGTTTTTCTCTCTGAAGTAGCCCTGTGAGAGGCTTTGGCTGCTGACTTCTTTGCACGTCCGCGTCTGATGGGGTTTGTGGCATGGCGTCCCTGTGTGTGGCTGCTGTGTTCCTTGGGCACGGACACCCCAAACCGCCGCGCCCACCATGGCCGGCCCCCACGCTCGTTAGATGGCGTGGGAGGCGTTGTGCATCGGCAGTGACGTCAGCTGTCGCCTGGGGCCCGCGCCTCCTCCACTCGGTTGTTCTCAATGTGAGGTAGCACTTCCTTCCCTCCCCGCCCCACCTCCCTCGCACCTCTTCCAGCACCGTGTGTCTAAAAAGAAACATGTTAAACCAACTGTGTGCGGGCCAGTTCCCAGGTGCGCCCGGACTCCGTCCTGCTCCGTCAGTTCAATCCTCTGACAACACAGGCCCCATGAACGCTGTGGAGCCGGGGGGCTGGGGGCAGCCAGGCCCGCTCCCCAGTGAGGTCCTCCAGGTGAGCACAGCAGCGGCCGGCAGGGCCAGGCCTCACGCCTGGCCTCCCAGCTGCCCAGCCGGGCAGGAAAGCCCCTGAGGCTCTGATCTCCAACAAACCTCCAAACGCCAGGAGTGGAGCTGTGGCTCAAGTGGTGGAGCACCAGCTTTGAGCAGAGAAGCTCAGGGATGGTGCCCCAGCTAACTCAGCACCCAGACTCAGTTCCAATCCCAGTGCCTGTGTATATGTGTGTGCATGTGCACAGACACAGACACCACAGACACACACACACACAGACACAGACACACAGACACAGACACAGACACACAGACAGACACAGACACACACACACACAGTCACAGGAGCCGCCCACTCCTCTTAGTTGGAAGTCCTCTTCATCAGAGCTGCTGCTTCTTTCGTAGTCTGACCTGGGCATTCTCGTCCACTCCGGCTCCATCTCCCACGCCGGCGATCAGTCTTCAGTTCCCGCCTGTGACTTCTGTTTCCTGGAGATGTCGCTCTGAGCCTGTGGAGGTTCTCGGCCCCCCCCCCCAGCTGGCCCTGTTCAAGGTCCCTCGTTCACACTCATCAGCGCAGGGGGGTTCCACCGGCCCTGGGGGGGTGGGGGGAGGGGGACCCACACCCAGAAGACCAGCCGGAGGAGTCGCATCCTGACAGAAGTGCTAGCCATGGACACGGTCATGGCTCAGCTCACACCGTGGCCTCCCACGGCACACGGTCCTGTGCGGTCAGCAGCCCCGCCTCACGGATTCCCACTCCACGGCAGAGGGGACCCCGATCCACACTGTGTGGCTGGGGTGGGGGACAGAAGAGCGTGGTGGGCGTGGCCCGACCGCTCTGGTCAAGGTGTGTGATGGGGTTGGGTTAGGCAGACAGGGGTGGGGTGGGTAGATCAGCCTTGGAGTGAGGGCTGCTTGGCAAGGCTCCCTCAGGTCTGCACCCATGGCCACGCCCCACACCCTGGGCCTCAGCCCCCCCCACCTCTTTCCTCTGTACTTGTGGGGGCCATGAGGCTCCTCCTCGTGTCTCATTTTCAATGCTGGCGGGAGGGCTGGTGAACAGAGGAGCTGGCGTGGGGGGCTGGGCACAGGGCCTTCCTTCCAGCCACCGTTTGTCTCCTGGAATCCTTCTTTTTGATCTTGCTGTTCCTGTTCTTAAAGGCAGGGAGGAAGGAGAGAGGCCTCTGCTGTTTATTGGAGGACGGTGGAGTTTGCATTCCAAATATCTTCCCCACCCTGAAATCTTCTGTTCTTTCCCTTTAGGTTTCTTGCTATTTAAAGATTTTTGTTTGAGTGGAATTAATGAAGCTGCCCTTCAGGTGAAGTTTTATGAAGAGGTAAGCAACCACTGCTTTATTGATGCTTTTCTTTCCAAAGTACATTGGAGCTGGGCTTTGGAATAGGCAAAGGCCGCCCAAAGCTTACCTGTATTTAGAAATTCATTAAAACCAATTGTCAGGGCAGAAGTCTCATACATAGTTTGTTAGCCATGGGGAAAGCCAGGCATGTCCGCTCATCATCTCCCCTGGGGCTCTGGCATTGGGCAGAAGCCTTAAGGGAGACTTAGAGCAAAATTCACCCCGAGGGGCCTGGAGTCATGGTCTGTCTGTTGTCTGTTGTCTGTGGAGCCAGCTCTGGAAATGGAGCTGTGGCCAGGGCTTTTAAAAGGAGCTGGCTGAGGTGTGCTGGTCCTCCTGGAGGAGCAGGTGGGAGAGATGCACTTAAAGCCAAATATCTGGAAGGCATGTGGAGCTGAGGGGCGGCACTCCTGCTAGAGTGCCTGCCTAGCAAGGACAAGGTCCTGGGTTCAAATCCCAGCACTGCCAAAAATGGATAAATAGGAATACCGTAGCTCGGATATCCTAGCGACTCAGGAGGCTGAGATCTGAGGATCATGGTTCAAAGCCAGCCCGAGCAGAGACGTCTTTTATCAGTGAGACTTTTGTCAGTGAACCACCAGAAAATGGGAAGTGGCGCTATGGCTCAAGTGGTAGAGCACTAGGCTTGAGCTGAAGAGCGCAGGGGCAGCGCCCAGGCCCCGAGTTCAAGTCCCACCACCACCAAAAAAAAAAAAAAGACAGCGTATTGAAATTGGGAACTAAGGAAATGAGGCTCTCCCGTGCGGGGGTGAAGGGGAGGGTAGCAGTCTGAATCTGTGACTGCCAGGAGAGGCCTCGGGTGAGGGCCCGTGCCGGGCTGGATGTGCTTAAGGATCAGGACGCGGAGGAGGTTCGGGTTGACCCTGCGAGCTACTCAGCCCCGTATGGGCATGAAATCATGACTCTGAGGTAACCTCTAAAAGGATAAAGTGTCTGTCTAACAACTTAGGTGAAATGGAGTAAGACCAGATTGGAATAGTCAAGCGAATTTGATGAGAGAAATACAGGGGAGTTAGGATAAGTCACCTGGGAAAGGGGGCCGGGCCAGATGGCGGCCGTGTATCTTGTGACACTTAACGGAAATGGACTACACACCCCAAGTGGAAGATGGAGGTTTGGGCACAGACCGAGAAAAGCCACAGGGGACGTGCCATACAGGCGGACCAGCGCCGCGCCGCCGAGCCCGCGAAGCCACGCCACGCCGACAGCACACTGCACCTGACACACACTCAGGGGTCTGGTGGAGGGAAGGGGTGTCGGACACGTATCTATCGCAGTCCCAAATAGCTGCAAATACCACCACTAAGGATGTAAAGCAAACACCGGCACGTCAAAAAGAAGGACCAGGCCAATTCCTGGGGGAGCTCGCAGACAGACAGACAGACAGACAGACAGACAGACAACTAGTAAGGAAGCAGTGATGGAGGACACCAGGCCCAGCTCACTCCTCGAGCTGCACGCTGAGTGGGATCCAACAGATCCCGTGCCCGTCCCCCAGCTCTCCACGCCGGCGTCATCCAGGGAATCTTCTCCAACTGCAGCGGGACTAATGCCACATTCCATAACAGGATTACCAAGGGGTTGATACTCCTCTCAATACTGACAGCCAAAGGAGAAATGGCAATTAGGAAATATTTGTTAACTAAAATATATGTAAGATGTGACAGATGCTATTATTAGTAACATGGTATGTTTTTATCCTAAAGTCGTTTTATGATAGCGTTTCACTCTGTCATCCAGTATGACCTTTAAACGCTCAATCTCCTGAGTGCTGGTATTACAGGCATGCACCACCATGCCCAGCCACCCCAAAGCATGTAAAATAATCTTTTAAAAAAGCATTGCATAATAAAGACTTGATACTAGAGGGTTTTATTTTTCAAGCTTGACAGTTGAGGAGAAATTCCTTTTGTGACATATTATATCTATCTATCTATATCTATGTCTATATAATGTCTTATTACTCCAGACTTTTAAAAGTTACATAAATATTTCTATGGGGGGCTGGGAAGATGGCTCAGTGGTAGAGCGCGTGCCTTGCATGCCTGAGGCCCTGGGTTCGATTCCTCAGCACCATATAAGCAAAAAGAAAAAAGCCAGAAGTGGCGCTGTGGCTCAAGTGGTAGAGCGCTAGCCTTGAGCTGAAGAGCTGAGGGACAGTGCCCAGGCCCAGAGTTCAAGGCCCATGACCGGACCCCCCCCCAAAAAAAACATCTCTAGGAAGAGGGGTTGAATTACAATGTACATTTCACATCATGTTAAATAGATGAATCCTAACCAGCATTGTATGTGAATAGCAGCGCAATCTCTGCTCTGTTTATTTTTATTTTTTTGATGTACCAGGTCAGCTTGTCAAGCACAGAGCCCTGTCCTATAGTAGATGAGCGCTGAGGGGTTGGGTGGCCATGCAAATGTACTGTGGCAGTCCCCAGGCGTTGGGGAGGGAGGTGGGGACTCATCTAGCTTGTTACCATTTGGTCTACCTGCAGGTGTTTCTATTGTGGTCCCTCCCAGCTCGTTGGGTGCCTCTGGCTTGGCATGTGGAGGCTCTAGCTAATCCGCAACACCCTGGAGTGTGCCCAAACTCCTTGGCACCCTTTTCACTCTTCTTATTTGTGTTTTGTACTGGTCCTGGGGCTTGAACTCAGGGGCCTGGGCATTGTCCCTTAGCTTTTTTTTTTGCTCAAGGCTGGGTGCTCTACCACTTGAACCACAGCGCCATCTTGGCTTTTTTCAGTGGTTCATTGGAGATAAGAGTCTCACCGACTTTCCTATCTAGGCTGGCTTTGAACCATGATCCTCAGATCTCAGCCTCCTGAGTAACTAGGATGAAGGCGTGAGCCACCAGCACCCAGGCTCCCGGATAAAGGAAGACAATGCTGTCACAGACTGAGAAATCCACCCACTCTCAGCACAGCTCTCTGAAGACTCACACAGCCTTCAGATACTGGGGTTCCCAGGGATTCCTCCTTCTCGACCCCTGAGATTGGCTAGTTTGATAGATTCCGCTGTAATTGCTGTTGATCTGCCTCCATACTTGGAAGACCCTGGTTCAGGTGTGCATCACCTGCCGCTCGCGCTGCACCTTCTGTCTGGGCAGCTGGCCAGGCCACCCCTGCTTGGCAGCCGGCCGTGTCCTCCCCCGCCTGCAGTGGCTCCACTTCTGCCGGCCTGTCGGAAGAGGGCTTCTCACCAGTCTCAGCGGGGCAGTTGGTGGCGCTGTGGCTCTGCGCTGATGGCTCCGCAGTCTGCGCTGTGTTCTCCCGGCTCGCCTGGTTCGGGGCTGGTAGTCAGAGAGGGCCTGCCAGGGTGGGGGGCAGTGGGGCCTGACAGAGAGGGCCTGCCAGGGTGGGGGGCAGTGGGGGCTGTCTCACGTGGTGAGCTGGGGCCGTCATTCAGCCAGGCCAGCAGTGTCTTGGGATCTGACCCCTAGGGAGATGGGGAGGACAAATGTCCTGCAGTTGATGGACAGGGCATGGGACATGGAATGGGGTTGAAGAGACGGGGTGGGGCATTCAGCCTTTAAAGCCCGTTGAGACATGAGACAGGCCAGGGGTCAGGTGCGAGGTGCTGGGATTGGTGAGGTTCAGGTGACGGCTCCGTCTGCGCCCTTTCTGGTTCCGGGTCCCGCGCTCTGCCACGTGGTGCAGGGAGGTATTCACACCTCTGGCTCAGACTGTAGAAGGCTGTTTTCCCCGGGTGTGTGGAAGCACTGTGTTAGACGCAATGCATTCCTGCTGCCCCTCTATCGCAGGCAATGCGCTTGTCTTTAAAACTCTCTCCCCAAGTAAGGCTGATTCTTTCTTAAACTCTCTTCCTTTTCTCCCTCCCCCCCTCCTTTCCTCCCCTCTTCCCCATCTCTTCCTTTGTCCCTTCTTCTTGTGCTGGTACTGGAGGTTGAACTCAGGGCCTTGCATTCGCCCTCAGCTTTCTTGCTCCATGGCTGGTGCTCTACCACTTGAGCCACACCTCCAGCCTGACCTGCTCAGGCACTGAGACAACCTACCTGCCAGAATCGTGAGCGCCATCTGCTGTGTGTGGGCCACCGTGAGGATGGTCTATTTCTAACTAGGGGGTGGCGGGCTGCGCGTGCTCTCTTCCACGGTGTCCCAGGGAGTACACAGTGAGTTCTGAGTTACAGACGCAGCTGCTCCGGCCTCTTTCTTCCCCTGAGGAGACATGACTTGGCTGTGGTCCAGGGTGCAGTCTGTGTGGCTCCAGGATCCGTGCTCCTGGGAAACCGGAGTTGTCTGTGTAGTTCAAGGTGACTTCCACAGGACTTTGTTGGAGCACATGGCAGTTTGCTTCGGTTATCGGTCACGGCCCGAAAGCCCTGCCCTCAGTCTCTTCTCCCTGCCCCAACCTGCCCTTCCCTTCTTCATTCTGGCCTTTGGTACTGTAACTATTTCTGTAAGTCAGACACTGGTGGCTCATGCCTGTAAGCCTGACTACTCAGGAGGCCAAGGTCTGGAGGATCATGTTTTGAAACCAGCCTGGCACAGGAGAGTCTACGAGACTCTTTATCTCCAGTTAACTACCAAATTGCTAAGCTTAGAGGTGTGGCTCAAGTGGTAGAACACCAGCCTTGAGCCAGACGTGGAGCAAGAGTTACAAGGCTCTGAGTTCGAAGTTTTCCTGTAAATAAATAGGAACAACTTTTTGGAGGTGTGACTTTCTTCAGATGAGAGCGTTTCCACACACGGCAGACTCGCGCGCGTGTTATTACCTGGCCTAGTCCCAACCCGCCAGGTTTCCTTGCCAGCACAGTGTCTGCAGAACCTTTTCTGTGGATACTTTCCCGTACTGCTAAGAACCCAAGGCTTCTGCCTAGGGTTAGTCCTGAAGAAAAAGAAAAGTACTTGTTTAGCCGATTTTTCAAAATCTCTTTGCAGGAATCCTGACAATATCTATTTTTAAACTTTTCTTGTTGGTTTTGGAACACTGTTGGCAAGTGTCCTTCTTAGAACTGGTGCTGCCGGACTGCAGTGATTGTGCTGGGTGGGAGGATTGGCAGGGACAGCCGGCCCGAGGCGGGCGTATTGTGCTGAGAGATAGTTGTGACCGTGGAAGTGTTTGTTTCTTGATGGTACGCGTTCTTCTGTGGAGGCAGCGTGGCTTGGCCCCTAGGAACAGCTCCTGTGACATCTCTGAGCAGACGTCAGTGCTTCCAACTCCATTGCTGTGATAATCGGGAGCTGTCGCCGCCCTCGGCCCAGGCATGGTTGGCTCGATCGCCCAGGGGGGTGGCTCCCGCGGGGTTGGCGGGGTCCCCAAATCAAGCAGGTTTCTAGACGCACTGACCGACCCGTGACACCTCTTACCAATCTAGATCAAAGAGTACGAAAAGCTCCACAACGAGGAAGAGCGCCTGTGCAGAAGCCGGCAGATCTACGACGCGTTCATCATGAAGGAGCTCCTGTCTTCCTCCCACGTGGGTAACCCCCCCTCCCCGCCCCCCCCCGCTTCCCTTCTGGCGTAAGCAGGGCCACTCCCAGAGCTCCTGGGTGAAACAGGACACTAGGCAGGTAGGAAGCATCTCAGAATGCACAGCGAGGTCAGGGCCAGGTTCCTCTGCTCTTTGCGTTTGTCTCCCGTAGAGTCCAGGTTGTCCCAGAACTATAGATCCTCTTGCCTCCGTCCTTTAAGTGCTGGGATTGCAGGCACACACTACCAAGCTCAACAGATTCTTCTGTTGTATAAATCTGCACCCTCCCCCCGCCCCATATGATACAGATGATACAGTTTCTCTCCTGTCAAGCTCAATTATTACGTTGCCTGAGGCTGATACTTACATTGCAAAAAAATCCATAATGTAACATAATATCAGTTGAAGAAAAAAGTCTCAATCGAAGACTTTGTGAATTAGGTAGTTAGGATTATTAGTTATTAACATTATTGTTGTTTTTTGATGCTAGAGGTCAAACCCAGAGCCATTTCTGTGCTTTTGGGCAAGTGCGCTACTGATCAGACCTCCCAGCCTGAGTTACCATGTTAAATTAGCTCTACTTTAACAATTTGGCTGGGCCAGTGGCCTAGCCCAAGTGCTAGAGCACCTGCCTGGCTAGTCCAAGGCCCTGAGTTCAAGCCCCAGTGCCAAGAAAATTTGTAAATGTTTTCTTTGAATTATTAGGAAGATTATAATTATGTCAGTTTTGTTCGTGATAAGTTAAAGAATGGTTGAAATCACTGTTCTTATAAATTAGAAAATGTCAGCCATTAAGAAAAAAATGAGGGTTCTAGGTGGTGTAGATTGGCTCCTTGTGGAGAGCCAGGCCCCTGCCACAGAGCCACGCCCCAGTACCGAGCCACGCCCACAGCCAGCCACATTCCTGTAGCAGAGCTACAGCTCTCCCGCAAGCCACGCCCACAAGGCCCCGCCCTCACCCAGGCCACACCCCCAAGTCAGCCTGCTTCCAGAGCCCATGACTCCTCGCTGACAGTCTCACCTCCCCTGTCCAGTGCGCCTGCCACATGTGGCTGGTGGGATTTAAGTTAATTAAGATGAGGTGGATCCCAAGCTTCCCCTACGCTCTCCTGCCCACAGGCCTGCAGCACTCTGGGCAGTGGCACTGGTGCCCATTTGGGCCCCTGGATGGCCCTGGTTGGGGACATGCTGTCCCATCGGGCCTGGGACCTGGGTGCCTCTGAGTTCCTGGGCCAGCCCGGGTCGCTTCCTTCTCCTCTCTCAGGGAAAGACACTCGGAGCCGGCACCGCCCTGCTGCCCTCTGCCTCACTCTTCTCTCCCCCGGGTCGGCCTGGGCCCCCAGACGGTGCCCACAGGAGCCTCTGCCAGTGTGGCCTTCCATTTCTGTGCAGTGTGCCTGCTCTAGTGGCACAATGTGGGGTTTTAAGCCATCTCTCTTCATGCACGTTATTACGAAAGACACGATTTGCTGGGTGTAGTGTCTCACGCCTGCAATCCTAGCTACTCAGGAGGCTAAGGTCCTAAGGGCTGAGTTTTCAGCCAACCTGGGCAGAGAAGTCTGTGAGACTTCATCTCCAAAACAACCATCACAAACCAAGCTGGAGGCATTGTTCAAATGGTAGAGCACCAGCCAAGCAAGCAGGTGCAAGATCCTGAATTCAAGCCCTAGTACCAACAAAAAAGAAAGCAGGCAAGCAAGAAAGAGGTGGTGTGTGTGTGTGTGTGTAGGGGTGGGGAAGACATGTCTTACAGTTCTGGGGATACAATTGAAGTGACAGGAAGCCCCATTCTGTTTGCCCTACCACCCTGTTCACGGGCTGTGTGAGACTCCTCAACCAAGCCCCTGTGGCCCAGTCCCAAGGCCCAGATTCCTAGATTAATTTCTCTAAGAGGAAGCTTACATGTTTTGGAATCTGTTACCTGGTTGGAACAGAGCACTGAGATGGTAGAGCTCCAGCCTTGAGCAAAAAGCTGAAAGGCAGCGCCCAGGCCCAGTGTCCGTGATACGTTGCTGTATTTTGTCATAAGCTGTGCTTATGTCTTCATTTTTTTTCCCTCAGCAATTCTCAAAGGAAGCAGTAGAACATGTCCAAACCCATCTGTCCAGGAGAGAAGCATCAGAAACCCTTTTCCAGGTAAGAAGGAAGTCCTTTGAAGTAAATGGACCTGACTTGCCCAGGAGCTGGGCCTGCTGACAGTTAGTGTGTGAGCTTGCAGACGTTCCTGGGAAAGGCCCTGGAGCTTTCTGGAAGCACTGTGTGGTAGAAAGCCCCAAGATAAGATGTCAGAAAATAAGGCTTTCTTCATGGGCTCTTTTTTTCTTTTTAGGACCTGCGTGCTACCCCTTAGTGTTTATGATCAAGGCTGGGTCTTAACCACTTGAGCCACAGCTCCACTTGGAGCTTTAGGCTGGCTAATTGGATATGGGAATCTCACAGGACTTTCTGCTGGGCTGGCTTTGATCTTTGGTCTTTTTCTTGGTGGTACTGATGTTAGGACATAGGAGCTCACATAGGCTAGGTAGGTAGGTGCACCGCCATGCTAGCCACGCCCCAGCCCTGTTTGGATTGAGTTGTTCTTCACATAAGGTCTTGTCGATATTGCTTGGGTTAGCCTGGAATGGAGATCCTTCTGCCTGCCCCACACTCTTCCTCCTGGCTCTCTTGAGCCCAACGGTTCTGAGAGGCACAAACGCAGCCCGATGGTGGCTGATGGAAACCTAGCAGCACCACTGAGGCCTTAAGACCCGTGCCAATCACAGGGAGTCTGGATGGGTTCCAAGGTAGGCTGCTCAGCTCACGGTGCCCAGGGCCAAAATGGAGACGTGGGGCCCCTTTCTCAACAGTGAGCGAGACATCCAAGGTGCCAGGTGCTGGGGGCTCTCACCTGTCATCTTAGCTACTGAGGAGGCTGAGATCTGAGGATCGCAGTTCAAAGCCAGCCCAGTCAGGAAAGTCTGTGAGACTCTTAATCTCCAATTAACCACTAAAAGCCAGATAGAGCTGTGGCTCACGAGATAGAGCACCAGCCTTGAGCAAAAAAGCCCAGGCCCAGAATTCGCGCCCCAGGATGGGCGCGCGCGCACACACACACACACGCGCACACACACACGCACACACACACACCAGGCACACACACACCAGGCACACACACACACACACCAGGCACACACACACACACACACCAGGCACACACACACACCAGGCACACACACACACACACACACACACCCCAGGCTAGCCCTGGTCATTCAGCCGAGAGCTGTGGCAGGCAGCAGGGCTCAGGCTAGCCTGTCTTGGTGGAGGAGGAGGGGCGGGAGCGTGGGGTGCTGGGCTCACCCCGGCCCCCCCAGGCCCCCAGTTTGTGTGTTAACTGTAGCACGCCCTGTTTGTGTGTTTGCTGTGGCACACTCCTGTTTGCACAGCGTTGGGTTTCTTTTCCATCCCTCCCAGCCATACATAGAAGAAATCCGCGAGAGTCTTCGAGGCAACATTTTTCAAAAGTTCATGGAAAGGTAAGTGCGTCTGTGTAACGTTGTGGCGTGTGTGGTTGTGTGTCATTTTACCTGTTATGAGCTATCCTTCAAGTGTGCAGGTTTATTCATTCAACAGATAGCCACAGCCCTGGCCTAGGCTATGGTTTAGACTCTAACCTCCATGTTACATCATTTCGATTTTGTATGGCTTGACCTTGATCTCCAGTTCTCTCACCTGAAATAGTCTGAGATTTTTTTTTCCCCTTGTGCTAGAACCAGAGCTTGGACTTTTCACTCGAAGCTGGCACTCTACCACTTGAGCTCCCTGCCCCCCGCCTTTTACAATTTAAATGCCAATGCATTTTCAAATTAGGGAAGAAACTCAGGTCTGCTTATGTGTTTGGGTTCTCAGAAGTTCAGGCGCTAGGGCTGGGAAGGTGGCTCAGTGGTAGAGCGCTTGCCTTGCATGCCTGAGGCCCTGAGTTCGATTCCTCAGCACCACATAAGCCAAAAGAAAAAAGCCGGAAGTGGCGCTGTGGCTCAAGTGGTAGAGCGCTAGCCTTAAGCAAAAGAGCTCAGGGACAGCACCCAGTTCAAACCCCATGACTGACAAAGATAAATAATAAATAAATAAAATGTACTGTGAGAGACACAGTGTCCTGATGTCTTCACCTACACACAAGACGGCAGATAGACTTTCCCACTAACAGCCGCCTAGTGGCTCCCAGGGCGGCGCGGGTTACACGGGATGCATTACTGAGATGATGTAGTGTCCTGCGCCGTCTCACCATGGACGTGGCTGATTCTGATTTAAATAAAAGTCAGCATAGCAGGTGACAATGGAAAGAGAGACTCGAGACCTTTCATTTGAACCTTCAAATAAAGCCAGGAATGCAGAGGAAACCTTTGTAACAGTGTGGACAAAATCCTCCCATATTGGAGAGCAAACATGAGTCAGTCACACTGGGCTCGTTTGTAAGAATGTTCTAGAAGTCTACTGAACTCAGCATATAACTCTTCAGTAATTTCATACTTCTGTTCTCTTTTAGTGACAAATTCACTAGATTTTGTCAGTGGAAAAACATAGAATTAAATATTCATGTGAGTATATTTTTTTCTATTCTTTCCCTACCTCCTTTCTTCCTTCCTTCCTTCCTCTCTTTCCCCCCTCTCTTTCTTTTAGATAAAATCTCCCCCTGGCTTAACCTCATGAGGAAATACTTGCTTCTGGAACATTGGCTCCAAGGGTACATGCCTAAACAGCCATCCTTTCTGCGCATGAAAAGCTCACCCATCCGTACTTACTGATGAGCCATTGCAGTTTTAATTCTTTTTTCATGTTTGCCTAAGAATGTGCTTATTTATGTCAGGAAGGATATTTTGAGCTATGAATGATCGATCCTCTCACCAAAATTAATATAACTGCCATATGTCCTGGTCCTGCTATTGTAGTATTCAAAGTTGAGAATATTAATAAAAATAAGGGCACGGTTTAGTAGAACAAGGTGTCCTCTTTCTGATTATCTTGAGCATGATGAAAATAATATACAGGCCAGGTGCTGGTGGCTCAAACCTGTCATCCTAGCTACTCAGGAGGCTAAGGCCTGAGGATCCTGATTCAAAGCCAACCGGGCAGGAGAGTCCATGAAACTCATCTCCAATGAATCACCAGAAAACTGGAGGTGGAGCTATAGTTCAAAGTGGTAGAAGGCTAGCCTTGAGTGAAAGAGCTCAGGGATAGCACCCAGGCCCTGAGTTCAAGACCCATGACCGACTAAATAAATAAATAGTAATCTACCACCCCCCATTGATGGATGCACCAGCTTTGAACAGCCTCTGAGGGCGGGGCTTAGTGTCCTCACCTGACCCACTGAGGGCGGGGCTTAGCATCCTCACCTGACTTCCTGTGGCTCTGACCTGCAGCTGACGATGAACGACTTCAGTGTCCACAGGATCATTGGGCGAGGCGGATTTGGGGAAGTGTATGGCTGCCGGAAAGCAGACACCGGAAAGATGTAAGCTTCCTGCCCACATCTGCTTCCCAGAGCTAGTAAGGCCAGCTCACATCCCCATCCGGGGACAATCCCTTAGAGAACTAACTGGCCCAGCCTGCGGGCTCACCCCTGAAGTGACTTCCCACACCTGTAATCCCAGGTACTCAGGAGGCTGAGAGCTGAGGATGAGGTTCAAAGTCAGCCTGGGCAGGAAAAGTCCACGGGACTCTTGTTAGCAATTAAAAATACAAAAAGAGCTGGAAATGGAGCTATGGCTCAGGTTGTAGTGTGCTAGCCTCGCATACATAAGTGTCCAGCAGGTCCAGCTGTTGACTCTGTGCTCATGGTGGACAGAAGCCGGGCTTCAGTGTTTTGCTACCCCTGGGCCCTGGGCTACCCGAGTTTGGCCCTCATATTTGTGGCTGCAGGTATGCAATGAAATGCTTGGATAAGAAGAGACTCAAGATGAAGCAGGGAGAGACGCTGGCCTTGAACGAAAGGATCATGCTGTCCCTGGTCAGCACTGGGGTAAGTGCCCGTTTCCCTCGCGTCTTCCTATGGGAAATGACGTGAGTCTGGCAGCCCCCCCTCCCATCTCCCCCACCATCCTTCTGTATAAGTGCCAAAAGGTCAGGACCTTACCATCCAAGAAGCAAAGAATTGCCTGGCTATAGCAGAGAATGAATCCAGGACAGAGTTACGCTAACCTCAGGAAGGAAGGGGCTCCAGAACCTTCTCTAGAAAAATCCAGACTGGCCCCCTCTGAGCTGTCCTTCCCTGGCTTGACCCCATCAGCTTTCCGTCCGGGTGATTGACTACATGCTCTCCGCACTCCTGGCCAGCACCCCTCCCTCCCTTGACACGATCCTTAGGATTTCATCACAGTCGAGCTTTTTTGGGGTGTGTGTGTGTGTGTGTGTGTGTGTGTGTGTGTGTGTGTGTGTGTGTGTGTGTGTCCTGGGGCTTGAAGCCAGGGCCTGGGTGATATGCTGAGCTTTTTTGTTTAAGGCTGGTGCTCTACCACTTAAGCCACAGCTTCACTTCCGGCTTTTTGCTAGCTAATTGGAGAGAAGAGTCTCCCTCGGACTTTCCTGCCTGGGCTGGCTTTGAACTGTGATCCTCAGGTCTCAGGCTCCTAAATAGGTAGGATGACAGATGGAAGCTGCCATCGAGAGGCTGGAAGAATCCCACTTTGGATAGACTGGGGTGAGGAGGCACTGTGGAGGTTTTCTTGCCCTGGTCTCGGGGTGCCCTGGCCTGGGCGCCTTCCTTACCATCGCCCTGGAGGTAAACTGGCCACATGTTTTGCCATTTACCCAATCTGTGAGCAAGGAAAATTGGGCTCCTGCCAATAATTAATGATGCACCTCTGCCTTCTGCATTTGACATTAAGAAGCCTCCTATATAAAGGCCCTTTGTGTGCCGCCCTGCGGCCTGTGAGCCGCTTGGGGTCGCTGTGGGCCCGGGGCCGGAGGGGGGGCGGGGGGGGGGGGAAGTAAGTTTCAAACATGCTCATGCTGGATGATTATAAGAAGTGATTTAAGCCTTCGTTTTTTTATGAGCCCCTATCATCTGAAGAAAGCCTGCAGGAGAAAAGTTTTGATGTTGGAGAAGTAGAAGGACATTTGCAGATGGGATTTTAATGTTTGCTTTATCCGGGCAGCGAGGGAGCGCCCTAAGAACCCTCAGATCCACCGCTGGTCAGATCTTGGGGGTGCCAGAGGCCGCCGCTCTGAAGCAGCCTGAAGGAAGTGCGTTTTTATTGGAATATCAGCCCCCCTCCCCGGGTGCTCTGTGTGTAGCATGTGTGCCTGTGCATGAGCATGAGTTCTGGCAGAGCTGTCTATGACAGATCAAAGGCTCACTGCTTCCGACCCGCCACTTGAGCCACGACTCCAGCCTTGCAGTTTTTTGGGTGGTTAATTATAGAGTCTCACAACATTTCCTGCCCAGGCTGGCTTTGAACTGTGATCCTCCAGATCTCAGCCTGCTGAGTAGCTGGGATTTCAGGCGTGCCTGGATTCCCACTTCCTCCCTTTCCTCACTTTTCTGACACGGTGTCCACCTCTGACTCTGACATTTCCTAGGTAGCAGGCTTGCCGCGTGCCATTCGCTGTGTTCAGAAATCCCCGCTGCCCCGCCGAGGCGCTTGTCCCCCCAGGGGTGGGGCTTGTCTTGGCCACGCCCTTCTCTGCTCTTCCCTCTAGATGCAAGCGTGTGGGTCCCCCTGGGGTGAACGAGGCAGCCCCCCTCAGAAGCCTGCAGGTCCCCCAGAAGGATTTTTCTTTTTCTCCTCCTTTTCCTTTTTTTTTAGGTGCAAGACTGGGACTTGAACTCAGTATCTGGCGTTTTTGCTCCTTGGCAGGTGCCTCCTGAGCCCTGCCTCCTGAGGCCTGCCTCCTGAGCCCTGCCTCCTGAGGCCTGCCTCCTGAGCCCTGCCTCCTGAGGCCTGCCTCCTGAGCCCTGCCTCCTGAGCCCTGCCTCCTGAGCCTTACCTCCTGAGCCCTGCCTCCTGAGCCCTGCCTCCTGAGCCCTGCCTCCTGAGGCTTTTAGGAGAAGGTGGATGGGCAGCGCTGTCTCTGTTTAAGACACCTCAGAACCAGGAAACGCTGTCTCTTCAGAACTGTTAGGAAAGTGGTGGGCACTAAATGCCTCCACTCAATGCATTCTGGAGTTTCCTCGCAAACCTCTGGGACACAGAAATGTGTCGGGTCTACATCCCCAGGCCACACTTAAGCCACACTGCCAGTTCCTTTTTGCCTTGGTTATTAGTGTTATTTTGCCAGCCCTGGGGCTTGAACCCCAGGGCTGGGGCCCTGAGCCTCTGTGCTCAAGGCTAGCGCTCTGCCAGCTGAGCCCAGCACCACTTCCAGCCTTTTCTAAGTAACCTATTGGAGGTGAGAGTCTCACACACTCTCCTGCCTGGGCTGGTTATTTTTGTCTCAGGTCTTCATGGTCCTCCCTTGCCTGCTTCCCCATGTCACTTGGGATACGGGCGTGTGCCACCATGCCCAGCCATTGGGCAAGATGGGGTCTCTCGGTTCACACGCTGCCAGTCCTCCTCTTGCTGTTTCTCTGCCTCCCCGTAGCCAGGATTACAGGCGTGAGCCATGCCACCTGCCCCACAAACACGGTTCATTTCATTATAGTCCAGGTTATCAGCACTTCTATAATCCGTGTGCTGTGTGGCCTGGCTCAGGAGTCTGCCTGCTCTGTGAGCTTGGAGCTGTCCTCGAGTTTTCGCTGTTCCCCCCTTCATGCTGGGGAGACCCCAGGGTGGTGATTTTGGTGTGCGGTGTGAGGTGGGGTCAGGTTCGCAGTTTACAGCCCAGCTCGGGTGCCGTCACTCTGAGGGTCTAGCTCAGACTCTGCCTTCTGTGGCAGTGGTCTGTCCGTCTGGCCACGCTGTCTGGGTTACCGTCGCTGTGTGATGAGTGGCAGGCTTGCCTCCGTGCGGCCTGGCTGCTTCTCCAGCTCAGCTGGCTTTTGCCTGTCTGTTTCATTTCCATGGAGCTGCGTGGGACCCACACACTCATTAGTGGGGAGTTGGAGGTCTGTTTCCCGTTGACCCCCCCCCACACCCCAACTGTGCTCTATTTTTCCTTTCTGCTTTCAGAAGCTTAATTTAACTCAATTTTCTCCTTCGTGCGTGCAGACAATAACGTGACGCCCTTCCCTCCAGTGGAGGGCTGCTTCCGCCCTCAGAGCCAGGGACGGATGGGGACGTGGAGGCCCGGAGCCTGGCCCCGCAGAAGGGCGTGGGGCGGTGCCAGGCTCTTCCAGGGACGGGGTTGTGGTGCCCGCTGATGACCAGGGCCTTCCTGTCATTGCTCCGGCCACTCCGTCTGAGCCACGGCCACACCAGTCCACTGTGCCTTCTGCCATCTCCCCACGGGGGCCCAGAGTCCGTAGCCTGGGATCTGATGATGGATGTACTTTCCAGAACCTTCTTTAGTCACAAACTCGTGTCCCCCCTCCCCTCCAGGACTGTCCATTCATCGTTTGTATGACCTATGCCTTCCACACTCCGGACAAACTCTGCTTCATCCTGGACCTGATGAACGGTAGGTCCCCGGCCACAGCCCGGTGCCCTGTTTGAGCTCCTGCCTGCCCAGCCGGGGCACTGGGGGTCTTCCCACAGTCAGATCCCCTGAACGCAGAGGAAGCCTTTGGCCTTCCTTCCTTCCCGGCACGTCCCCAGCTCTGGCCGCCCCCTGTGCCCGCCCGTCTCTCCTTAGGAAGCTGGGAGCTGCTAGAAAAGAATTGTCCTGAAATCAGTGCTGGCAGAGGGTTTGGATTTTCTGGGCTGCAGCTGCTCTGGGGTTTTAGTCAGCTGATGCCCCCATCCTCCATCTTGGGTGGCCAAGAACAGCCCGGTGTTTAGAAGCTGACTCTGAAGAGGAGACTTTGAGCCAAGGATGGGTGTCAGCCCAGCCCTCTGCAGCTTCTACGTCAGTGGATGCCGCTTGTCCCCTAAAACACACACTCAGCCACAAACGTTGCTAATAAGAGGAAGGGAGATGGGGTGGATTCAAGGGATTTTTAGTAAGAAGGCTGAAATTTAAAGGGCTGATAGTTCAGCCCTTCAGATGTCTAGGTTTTTGTTTTCTTTTGAAGTTTTTTAGTTTTATGAACTTTTGAGTGTTTGGAATAAAATCAGAAACACGAAGGAATAAAATAGAAACACAGAGGAATTTCATAGGTATGGCACTCGTGTACACATGGTGGTCAGAAAAGGCAGCGCTGATGGAGGGTGAAGGGGCAGCCCTTTTGGCATGATGAGGTCCTTCCTGTGTTGTTCTGATGGCATTGGTGCCACTAGACATGCGGGGAGGAAAGGCTCTGAAATCAGACGCACACACTTTCGTAAATCACTGCGGACGCCCCCTGTGGTTTATGAGAGTGGTTCTTTACCCTGTGGGCAACATCTTCTGTCCCTGTAACTCGAGGGCACATGACCGCTTCCTATTTCCAACACTGCGGATGTGGAGAGACTTTTGCTGGGGACCCTCGGATCCTCACCCCCTGGGTTTCACGGGTCAGTACTGCGCCAGCCGTCCCTCTGTATGGCCGTGCTTTAGTTCAGCTGTGTCCGCAGAGGCAGTGGCTGAGTCAGCCAGGATCTGAGTGACGGAAGCAGGTTATCTGTCCCCTCACATGCCTTCCGTCAAAGCCATGGGCACCAAAGACAGGCAGCTGGGGGGCGGGGGGCGGGCGCCTCGTGATCTCCCCCCTGCGCCCTGCCCTGCGCGACTGACCGCCCCCTTCATGTCCCTTGATTCCGGTGCCCTGGTTTAACGGGGTCTTGCTGGTTGCAGGGGGGGACCTGCACTACCACCTGTCCCAGCACGGGGTGTTCTCCGAGAAGGAGATGCGCTTTTACGCCATGGAGATCATCCTGGGGCTGGAGCACATGCACAGCTGCTTCGTCGTCTACAGAGACCTGAAGGTGAGGACGGGGCTGTGCCCACCCCCTCCCCCCGCATCCCTCTCCTCCTTTCCTTGTAGTCTGGACACGCACCCTCCGTCCATGTGCGCTCTCTCCCAGGCCTGGCTGTGCCGGGGCTGAGCCCGCAGCCACCTCTGTTGCCAAGGAAACCATGTGCCCGCCCTGCCTGACAGAACCTATCCTAAGTCAACACCTCGACATAATTCGTGAATGAAGAGCAAGTCAGGCAGTTTGGGGCTGCTGTCCGTGTCACACCTCAGTGCAGTGTAGCAGATGTTCATTCACTGAGCAATCCGTTTGGCCACAGGGCTGGAAATGGCACACACGGCAGGGAGCATGTCTCTTAGGGGCTGGGAGCTGGTGTGGGAGGCCACGGGGCGTCCAGTGGAGCCTGCCCGTGGCCCCAGGCTGCGCCCGCACAGCCTCCACGACCTTTAGATCCTGCCCAGCCCCTAATCCCCAGGACTTCAGAAATAAAGAGACGGAGCGGCTGTGAGCATCCGTCCAGGCCCTGAGCTCTGCCCCCTGTCCCCCACGGGGAGGTGGCCGAGTCCATCCGTCCACAGTGATGCTCACTGAGGTGTGACCCTGCAGGCAAAGGCCGGGACCTCACCACATTTCAGACAGGCCTGTGCAAATGCACGTGTGTGGAAGAATCGTTAGCTGCACAAGGGTGGCTCACACCTGCCCTCTTAGCTACTCGGGAGGCTGAGACCTGGAGGGTGGAAGTTCGGGCTCATCCTGGGCAGAAAAGTCTTTGAGACGCCCATCTCCAGTTGACCAGCGAAATGCTGCGCTGGAGGCATGGCTGAAGTGGTAGAGCACCTGCCAAGCACACAAGCTGAGTGAGTTTGAGGTCCTGAGTTGAAGCCTCAGTCCTGAGGACACTTGATTGAGTTGGGATTCTTTGGAGGAGGGGAAGAGGCCGCGTTTACTGCTGGTCTCAGCCTCATCCTTGAATGCAGCCAACCCCAACTGCAGATCACATTCACCCTGAGGAGCTCAAAATCCAAAATGCTGGGGACACTGTGTTTTGAGCAATTTTTTTCTTTCACAAATGACTACAAATCTTTGAGCCTTCCACAGGGTTAAGGAATTATGCCTCAGGTTTTCATGCCAGCCCCCAGAAAACAAAACATTTCATTTTTAAGAAAATGAAATTAGAAATAGTTAAGCAACTGGTTGACATTTGATTTCCTTATGTGGGTCTCACAGGAGAAGCAAACCCACGCAGAAGACCCACGGACTGCCGTTGGGGTGCATCTTAATTCAAATCATCACCGCTTTCTAATCATCTTTATGCTGCTGTATTTTTGTTTTCGGAGCTACTTAGTAACAATTGGATTACCTCATTTCTATTCAAACTTAATTCCAGCCACTCATGACGGCTCATCGCTCTGAGTTTTAATAGCACACCATTAATTTTATTTCAGGGGAAAAACAATAGTTGTTCTTTAGCATAAAAAAATATTCAGGTGGCGGTAATTCAGTGTATACCGGGGAAGAGCGTGGTCGCCCTTCGGTGTTCTGACCAGATCTAACCTGAGTAGGTACACTTCGTCAGAGGCATGGCCGGCACCCTCCCCGGCCGCTCGTTAGGGTTCCGGGCTGTGCTGGCCCAGGGCACTGGGATGACGTTTTCCGGGCTGGGTGGGCTCTGTGGATGCGGCTCGCCTCCTCTCTGAGGTCAGCGCCTGTCCATCCTCACAGGATCCTTCAGTGCCCTCATTCCCTGAAGTCCTGGGTGGGGGGGGAGGGAAGGGAGAGAGGGGTGAAGGGAAGGAAGAAGCAAGGAAGCATGGGGGGGGGGGGGAGCCACAAAGTGGGTGGCCCTGCTCTGTGTTGCTGAGAGACCCTGTCCTGGACATGCTGGGGTTCTTGGTACAGTAACAAGAAACTTACTTTGCGGCCAGGTACCGCTGGCTCATGCCTGCATCCTAGCTACTCAAGAGGCTGAGATTTGAGGATCACAGTTCAGAGCCAGCCTGGGCAGGAAAGTCTGTGAGACTCTGATCTCCAACAAACCACCAGAAAGCTGGAAGTGGAGCTGTCGCTCAGAGTGGTCGAGCACTAGTCTTGAGAGAAAAAGCTAAGGCATAGCACCCGGCCCTGGGTTCAAGTCCTAGTACTGGCACAGAGAGGGAGAGAGACAGAGACAGAGAGATGAGAGGGAGATGCCGAGGGCTGGGCCTGGCGCTCCTAGCTGGCCATGTGTGAGGAGTAGATTGCTTCGCCTGCTCCGTGCCCTGCCTGCTGCCCTGCCCTGCTGGACCCTGTGGAATTGTGACTCAGGAACGAGCCACGGGGAGGCCCCCAGTGCGCCCCGTTGGGAGCCGTCCGAGCCCCAGCCTGGGGGTCTCAGCCTCGCGTGGCATTTCCTTCCAGCCTGCCAACATCCTCCTGGACGAGCACGGGCACGTGAGGATCTCCGACCTCGGCCTGGCCTGTGACTTCTCCAAGAAGAAGCCGCACGCAAGCGTGTAAGTGACGCACCCGTGTTCACGCAAGCGTGTAAGTGACGCACCCGTGTTCACGCAAGCGTGTGACGCACCCGTGTTCACGCAAGCGTGTGACGCACCCCGTGTTCACGCAAGCGTGTAAGTGATGCACCCCGAGTTCACATAAGCGTGTGACACGCCCCGTGTTCACGCGCCTCTGCCGCCGCTCACTGGCCAGCCCGGCCCCCGTGCTGTCCCCAGCCCTGGTTCCAAGCCCGTGGTGATGTCAGCCAAGGGTCCGGCATCCCCCGGTGGAGACGGAGCCCATCCCCCACCCCCCTCCCCCCCCAGGTACCTGAACCCGCTCTGGGGCCACACTTGTGTTGGAAAGAGACCCAGGCGACCACTTTGGCCCTCAGTCTCCTCTTCTCGATCTGTGTGCCCGGGAGGCAGGCAGGCAGCAGCGCAGCGCGACCGCTTTCCTTCTCCAGCCTTTTCCCCAAGCTCCTCCCTACCCTGGGAAGCCAGGATTACTGTTATTAAAGAAGCCGATCATCTTCACGTTCTCCAGGCTCTTATAGGGTTCATGTTGGGGAGCCCAGAGAGGTGACGCTGTGGCCCCCAGCTAGAAGCACCTGCCCCAGGCCCCCCACCCTGGTGGTGAGCGTCACAGCCTGCAGGGCTCTGCGGCTCTCTGGGCCGTGGAGAGAAGCCCACGCATGGCCTGTGCCACACTCCACATGACTTTCACTGTGTCTTTGTCACCCTGTCGTTCTGAGCATGGAATCTTTAGGAAAAAATGCAGTTTTCTTCCTGGATGTTGGTGGCTCATGCCACGATCCTAGCTACTTGGGAAGCTAAAATCTGAGGATCACAGTTCAAAGCCAGCTGGTGCATGAAAGTCTGAGACTCTTATCTCCCATGAACCACCAAGAAACCAGACATGGAGCTGTGGCTCATGGTTGAGTGCCCAGCCTTGAGCAAAAAAGTCTAAGGTACAGCGCCCAGGCCCTGAGTTCAAGCCCCAGTACTGGCATGCCTGGGCACACGTATGTGCATCACCGTCATCAGTTTTCTTGACCCTTTGGAAGGAATATTTGCCCCGTGCTGCTGGTGTTAAGGAGGCTCCCAGAGGCCCAGTCCATGGACTTGGGTAGGAAACAAACCCTAGATCCTCCTCTGTCTGCAGGGACCTGGTCGTGCGGGGCCCGGCCCTTCTGTCCACTGCCAGGGGCCACACCGCTTCAGAGTTGCTTTTGAAAGCGGCGATCTGGTGGTCCAGTGGTCTGGCGTGAGCAGGCCTGGGCTTCGGCTCAGCTCCCCCAAGTGCTGGGTTCCCAGGTCTGTGCTGTGGTGAGGAAGGTTCCAGCATTTTCCAGTGCTTTGCAAGGACTGAGCCTCAGGCTGCGAAAGCCTCTTGCAGCCAGTCCCGCAGACCAGGTGAAGGGCGTCCTCTGAATTCTTAGCTCCACTGCCCTTTGGCTGGCCAGTTCCTTCAGTGCACGCAGTCACCACGGAATAGGGATACAAGAACCGGTAAGGTTGATTTTCTGGAAGAATGAACGTTCAAACCTGGGGTTATTAATTTGCTTGTGGGGCCTGGCTTTGAGTAGGACTCATTGGGAGCCGCTCTGCCTGTTTGAACCTCCTCCGTGAAGGGACTGGACAGGGAAGAAGGTCCCTGTGTTTAAATGATGGGCCTGAGGCGGCTACTTGGATGAATACATCATGAAGTGCTACTTTTTTAAGTGGAACAGACATTTTGGGGCCAAAACACAGGCTTTGGAGCCAACAGACCCAGGTTTGAGTTTCTCCTTGAAGATGTGTCCTCTCCTATGGACACGCCCTGGCTCACAGCTGTAATCCCAGTTATTCAGGAGGCTGAGACCTGAGGATCACAGTTCAAAGCCAGCCTGGGCATCTTGGAGAGTTCCCTGAGCAACTCTGCACTTGGTGTTGGGTCGTTGTGTTCAGCTCGGCACGTGGCCAGGACTGTTGGCCAGAAAGAGCCAGAGGTCACCTCCCAGGTGTTTTCCCAGTATGTTTCGACTTCCTGCAAACGTCATCATCTTGTTTGCTCCCCTTTGGATCCTTGAAGCTTGAGCCACTTTCCAGGCTGACCTGGAGGCTCCTGTCCCTGGGGGCTCTGCTCCCACTTTCTCTGGGACCCCTGAACCCCAGCACCTGCTCAGGTCCAGCACGGGCCGCTGGGCCGCCGCTGGAGTGGGCCAGCCCTGGTCTGATCAGGTCTCGGGCCCGGGCCCAGTGGTGGCAGTCAGTGGTCTGCTCCTTCCCACTCGCCCAGGCATGGCTGCCTGGGACCCCAAGGGCAGAGGGCAGCTGGCGTGGCCTTCCTGATGGGGAAGGTGGCTTCCCACGGCTCCCAGGAGGGCCGCCCTTGTACCCACCCTGCCTCCCTTCCCTCCCCAGGGGCACCCACGGGTACATGGCCCCCGAGGTGTTGCAGAGGGGCACGTCCTACGACAGCAGCGCCGACTGGTTCTCCCTGGGCTGCATGCTCTTCAAACTCGTGCGAGGGTGAGT